GACACAACTACAGTGAGCTCGCGATAATATGAACTAATTAAAACCAAGCCTGCTAATTTTTGCGAGATTGTTCATATTTACGAAAGGCTCAAGAATTAAAAAACAAGTTTCATAAATTTAAAAAAAAAATGTTTTATTTAGAACTTTAAAATAAACTTCTATTCGTTTTGTTGGTCACACAAATAAACAAACCGCATATGCAGGGGAACTTCGGGTATTGTCGTATAGGTATTTTTTTAAAAATGTAGCAAATGTACGAGCTTTATTGTAACTATTATTTACCAGGGACCGTAACGGTTATAAGTTTTATTATAAAAATCACTTTTTAATCGTTATTAACTGAGTTTTATTTTTTGCTCGGAAAAAAATGGTTACGTTTTAAGTTTTATTTTTTGCTCGGAAAATAATGGTTATTTCTTGAGTTTTATTTTTTGCTCAGAAAATAAAACTTAATTTTTGCGTATGTGTATGCGCTTTTTTGCACTTTTTCTTTAGAAATGTGGTTCTCTTTATTTCTGCCCCGGTATCTGTATTTTCATTACCCACTCCACTGTGGCGTTAAAGGTTCAATGCAGCCGCCCCCTGTCTATTCACGCATGCGCATACGCATACGCAAAAATTAAGTTTTATTTTTTGAGCAAAAAAGAAAACTCAAGAAATAACGATTATTTTCCGAGCAAAAAATAAAACTTAAAACGTAATCATTATTTTCCGAGCAAAAAATAAAACTTAAAACGTAACGATTATTTTCCGAGCAAAAAATAAAACTCAAAACATAACGATTATTTTCAGAGTAAAAAATAAAACCCAAAATATAATGATTAAACTTGATTTTTATAAGTAAAAATTAAAAAAATAAAAATCAGTGCCGCTGAAGATACTCCGAGTAATAGGAAATATATTGGTTTACTCCTTACGCACGTAGCATTTCTCTTTCAGCGTGATTTCTTGTGCTGAAATTTCAAAGGATAATCGTTATTTGCGGTCCCTGTTATTTACTACACGAGAACAGTGAAACTGAAGTTATAAAATATTTTTCAGTTAAATACTACTTATATTCAAAAATAGCAAAGTTATTGAAAAAAATTTTAAATAAACCAAAAAATACCTTCTTCAGAAATTGCAGGGTAATATGGTATATATGGCTAGGATAATGTGGTATGCTTTCCCACATTACGATAACGCAGCTGTTATCATCTATATCATGTTGTCTTGGGTCCACTTTCGGACTTCCCCTATTTTTGGCATCTAGAATAATCGTGGTGTTCAAGTAATTAAAAATTACCTATGGAGGGTATTGTAATACCGTAACCGATCTTTTGTCTACCACAATAACCGATTTTCAAAATTTCCGAACAAACTCATACAAAACATAAACTTTCTATTAGCCGAGACTTGATAAAGGGAATACAAAACTCACTTTGCAATTTTAAATTTTTTTTCTAAAGCAAGTTTTATTAACAAATAAACTTGATTTCTTGCAGTTAAAAAAACTTTAAAATCTTGGATCACATGTTTAACAATAAGAAAACCGAACATGAAGTTATTCACTGTAAGCATTTCCGAGCGACAAGTATGGACATTTCCAATGCAAATAACTAGGGGGTTCCCCAAATTACCAAGCGCTTGAAATTCGTTAGAAATTTTTAAAAACAATAATGTTCATATTTTGGAACTTTTGCCTAAAGTTCATATTTTAGAGTAGTCAATGGAAGCGAAAAAGTGTTCATATTTTGGGATGTTCATATGTTCGGATGTTAATATTATCGCGAGCTCACTGTATATGTATTTAATAATTTCTCCAATTCCGCTGCTAACATTTTTTTAAACAAATCTCAAGTACGTTTAATTTTATAATGATAGAAAATGTATATGTGTTTTATCGTTTTAATAAGACATCTTTTTTATTGAATGTATTAATCTCATATATAAAATTTTTTAAATCAATATTTTCCTTATTTTCTCCATTATAATAGCGATTATATAAATTTATTAATTTCACAACATTTTTATGTTGTCGTTCTGTGATATAGGAATTGCATGTATCAGGTCCTGATGTAGCATTATTATTACTCCAAGGACAGATCGTACATATATTGTTTTCCATATATAGATTTTATCCAAGA